GATATCAAGAGGAAATATGGGACCTGAGAATCCCATGACATCTTTTAGATACTCATATAGTCCACATAAGGAATTATTTTTCACTTGAAATTTAAAATAAACATATTATTCCATTACAATCTCAGATTTATGTTGCAGAAATACTCTGGGCCTAATCCTACAGTACCTGTAAGTTAATGGAATCTCTAGAACAGCACAACACAAATCAAATTCCCTTGAAAAGGCAGTATTTATGTAGCTGGTCATGACTTTCAATGTAATGTGCAAATGCCTCATCCTAGATGTTACAGTGAAATTCCTTCTCATTCTCAAGACTGGGTGCCCTAATACATTGCAAACAGCAACAAAGTGCCTGATTGTTGCTCACTTGTCTGAACACACTAAAAGTTCATAACTCAGGGAAGCTGCTTGTAACAATATGACAATAACAATACTAAGGGCTAGAAATCTCAATAAATAAGACAAATCTACACTTTTTTTTTTTTTTTAAACATCAAAGCTTCTGGCTCAATGGTTTGAACAAAGAATTATAATGAGTAATTTCTCATAACTTCAACTCTCAAAGGAGAAAGACTGACTCATTCAAAGCCACATGGCTCTGAGATTTTTTATTGTTTCTCTAAAAACTTAACTGGATTACAGGTTGGTTAGAAGTTGTTGTAACTGCTGATGTTTACCTAGAAGCAATCAGATGAAATCCAGGAGAGAACCAAATAAACAAATAACATCAAAGAAGCAAGTTCCTATAAATATTCAGCTGTCCCAGATGCCTGGGAAGTATCCCTTCCTTAAATACACACAAGGCAGGTCAGGGACATTAGATAGCAAAATGATTTGATAATATCGTATCTAAACGCTTTAGAACTGTGATTGAATTTAATAAATTTTTTGTTGTTGTTCCTCAGGATAGACGACATCATTATTCTATTATTCTAACATTCTGTAGCTACTTGTACCACTACTACAAGATGTAAAAGTAGTTATTCTGATTAAACAGTGTTTTACACTCTACTTTTCAGGACATAAGAGTATAAAGCTTTTTTTCTTTTTCCATTATCAGGCAATTGAACAGAAAACATTACTGACTGACCTCTATATTAATGAGGGTAAATAAACCCACAGATGACTTCTACTAAGTGAAGGACCCGAAAGTAATGTGCTATTTTAAGCCATTTTCCTGCAAAATTAGGTACCAGGATAAACAGAAATCGGATTATTCCAGCTGAGTAAGAAAGTTCAAATAAACATATCTTCTCTCTGTCCAAATCCTTGTCCACACTAAAAAACTGACTGGTTTTAAAGAATGGTTATGACGAATATGTGCCCTTGAAGTAATACTTGAAATTTTCTGCATGAAACAGTGATGCAACACCATTCTGGAGACATAACATTTTACTAAAAATAAGGGTAGCAGACAGTCCAAGAACCCAGAGATGTGAAATGAAATTTAGTCCTTTCAATGAACGAAAGAATGACAAGAGTAAGAAAAAATTATCATGTGACTTGTCTCATGTGCCTTTCCCTGCCTATTATATTTGCATTCAAAATGAACCAGAGCAACTTGAGCATGCTGTAGTCTAGTGTATCCTTCCTTTTATAGGCAAGATTAAAAAACCCAAAAAAAAACCAAAAACAAACAACAACAACAAAAACAACAAACAAACAAACAAAAACCAAAGAGGAAGAAAATGTTTTTATGCATTAGTAAAGTTTCATAGGTTCAGCCAGTTATCAGCTCAAAATTATCATGGTTAATCAGCATTTAACAATATAAAAAAAAATTACATATAAACTCTCATGTACACAAAATGACTGAAAATCTACATCTAAATTTCACCTGATTATTACTGCTATTCTGATGTAATAATATAAAAGAAAAGGTCAACTTCTTCTGTTAATCCAGAGTTTTCACAATTAAAGTAGTCAATCCTTATATCATACATGCAGCCTCATTCAGCCATGTCTTGCTTAACTCTATAATTTATAAAATCAAAAAATTAAAATCTACTTGCAAAATATATTAAAATTATCCTTTTAATAAGGAACATTTTTGAGAAATTTTCAGTACTTTTGCCACTTACTAGATATGTGTTGGTTTTGTGTGTTTTTCTGTATTTGTCATTAAAGTGTTTGTTTTGGTTTGGTTTTTTTCTGATAGATCTCACTTTTTAGAGTGCTGAGATGTGCTCTGGAAACTATTTAAATGGAACACAATTTATGGCAAGATAATTATGTTTGTTTTAAGTTGCCTGAAACACCAGCCTGTTGAGAGAATGTTGAAACTCCACTGGACTTTTGCAACAGTGGATAGACTTCCAACCATTTCAATACCAAGGAGCTAAAGAAATAACCAAACAGAAAAGTAATTGCAAAATATTATTTTCTTGGTATTGTTCTATATTACTTCCTTTACTAGGACTTAGTCCAAACTATTTTTAAAACGCCTCAGGTGACAGGGCTCTTTCCACTTACACAAACTAATAGATCTTCATTGGAACATCTTCCCTGATACCCTAATTGATATTTTTTTCCCACTTCACCTAGTTGTTTTTATACACCCTGGAGACATATTAAATAATTTCCTTCCCTGCTTCTCCAGGTGCCTTTCAAATAGTAATAAATGGTTGCAGCTTCAGTTTAGTCAAAATTATTTAATTAAATTTTTCAAATCTTGCCACACACCCACACATTCAACACATTTTTTGTCTTTATCAACAAACCAGAGCCTCCATCAGGATATTAAATGGAAAAGTGGCAGCTGAGGAACATTTCAGATGAAGGTGGGGACCACACAGGTGAGGAACATCAAAGATTGCTGGTACTAAAAAAATAGCTCCCTTGCACTTGTGACTGGGATGGAGAAAGTCACCTATGCAGGCTGTGGTTGGGCAGAGTGTGCTGCCTGTGGCAAGTGAGGTGGATGCACAAAACTGCATCTCCCTGAGTGTTCAGCTGCTCTAGACACCAATAATTTCCAAGTGAGTCTTTGCTTTGGTTCATTTTCTTCATGTTCCTTAAAGAGAGGCTGGATGAAAATTTTCATCTCACCTCTCTTTACTTCAAAATTTAGTTTTTTTAAGTTGTCAGTAACCACGATGGATCTAGAAAGTTTCGGTGATGATTTCTGGGGGCCATTCCTCTTCATGTTGCTCTTTTGTACACACTTGAAAGCCATCATTCTTTTTGATGAGTTGACAGTGACCTCTCCAATTGCATACACTTGGAGAACAGATCTTAAAGTGTCAAGCCTTATTCATGCCTCTATAATGAAGGACTGGTCAAATAACCAGGCAGATTGAGAGCTGATTCCTGTTACTAGTGATCAAGGAGGCAGCAATGCTGTTTTGCACTTCTTACATTAATCATATTCTCACTTTAGCCAGTATTCCTAGAAACCTGCTATCATTTGTGGAGCTTCCTATTGAAATCTATGGAGAAAAATGAAAAAATAAAAAGGAAAAAAGAAGAGAAATAGCTATTCCATCAGAAATACAGAATAATTTATGCTGCTGTAGCAATTTACCAGCATTGATCTCTGTGTAGAAATCCACCTTACATCAGTAGAGGCACAAGGATAAAACATGGTCTATAAAATTCTTTTTCACTTGAGAGTTTTTTAGACAGAATAAGCTGCAGATTGTGCTGTGAACATTTTCTTCACCATAACACATAACCCTTTGAATTAAGAAGGACATGAAATCTGAAGCAAAGAAGTTTTAGTGGAGGTGGGGTGGAAAATGGTAAAAGCCCACAGAGCCATGGTAAATGAGACATACAAATTTAACTCACTTTTCAGAGACATGTATGTGTGGATATAGTAAAATTTTGACCATTGTCTTTGCATTTATAATGTATACGTATCAGGTTGCTTGCTACAAAAATTCTGTGTCCCATTGAACCTTCTAAATATGTTTACCCTCTGAAGACAGTATATCTGACTTGAAATAAAATTGAACTATGCTGGGTAATTTTATAACTCTTTTACTTGCATTGGGGAAAGAAAAACACATAGAGGAACATTCAAGTAGTCCAGCTAACTTCTATGACACTACTGGAATAAGGAAGCAAGCAGAATTTGGGGCCTGTTAATTTTAGCAGATATTCTAAAGAATATTGTTCCACCTAATCCAACAATTTAGCTGAAACAATAGTGACATAATTGGCAAAATTACATAATAATTACAGTGCTTTAGAGCGAGCTATATTAAGGTATGACTCATCACTCAATACCTAAGGTACAGAACTACGTCAGATCCAGCAGTGCTGTGCAGTATAGTGTAACTGCAGCCAAAAATGAAATTTAAAATCAGCAATCTTTTGTTAATAAGGAGGAGGAGGAGGGGAATTAATGGAAAGTATGACTATGAATTTTGGTTTAGTTTAATGAATTAAATTGAAAAAATGGCAGGGAATAGTTGTATAATTACAATTAAAATTTACATTTTTTTTTTTTAGTATTTAATACATTTTACTATTTGAGCCTCACACTTCCTCTGGCAACACTTGTAACAGTTTGCTTTATAGAAAAGGGAGAGTTATTCCACTCTTCAGTTGGGGAAATGATTGGTGAAGTGGAAAAGCAATGATGGAATGTTCTGAGATAATTATATTTTTTTTATTAGAATATATTTTACCAATGATCATTTTGAAAGAAAAGCAGCACAATGTAACAATCAACTACAAAACACTTAGCTTCCCATGAAATGCTTTGAATTATTTTCTCTAATAGAATTTGATAGAAAGCAATTCTTTTAAAAACTGCAAAGGCTGAATATATGCATCTTAGATAAAAAGCATACAGAAAATTTTATCCTTGAATAAACCTTGCTTGTTAAACAAAAGATATCTACACCTTCTTTAATTTTCTTATCTGTTAATACTTTCTTTGGTAATAAACATTGTCCCAGTTAACGATCTTATTCAACAGAACAATTATACCTCATAAAGAAACTTACTGTGCTAAACTTTTTCTATCAAGAACTGTGACAATTTGTACTCACCAGGTGTAAAATTATATCGAGCAGAAAACCCAATAGATTCCAGCTCAGCATCAGCAAAAAATTTAATCCACAGGAATCTGCCACTGGATTTGATCATAGGTGGATTTTGCTGTCCACAGAAACGTCCAAGCATTGGGGAAAAGCCAAAAGGTCCATCTCGTACCTCAATGTGGTCAAATTTACACTCCCAAGAAGGCTCTATGGAATATTTTTCATCAAAGTGTAGTTCAATGCATTGTCTAGGGGCAGCTAGAGGTGAAAAGAAAACCTTATTATTTTCTAAATCAAGTACCTTCAAACCTAAACTCTAAAGAAAATCAGTATTAGTTTTGTAGGCATCTTAGTATTTTGCTTATAAACTTGTTTGAAAATTAGTACATCTACATTCTTATATATTTCACACCATTACCTTGCTTGTCTATACTTTTCCTTTAAAAAAGTGCTCATGACAGCAGTTCTTAACAAAACTAAGAGAGATACCTATGATGTAAAATACAGTTTAAGAAAAACTGATACAAAGACAAATCTTTCTAAGAAACATGCATCTCAAAAAACCAGTGTTTTCTTGTATTTGCAGGGGGAAATGTTTATCAGAATACTTTTTTTAGATAATGGCCACAAAGATTAAGAAAAAACTGATCAGAACTCTGCTATAGTAAGAAGGACAAATTATGTTCCAATGTGTATCGTAGTCAGTGACAAGCTTAAATGTAATTGCTTACACTCAAGAGTTATTTATCATTTCATTTGAGACATAAAGACAAGTGTAGTGAATTATCACTTAAGAAACTAGGTAAGGATGAAGCAAAATTAACATCTAAGCAAGGAGCCAAAAATATTCTGCTGAATATCTTGAATAAACTTTATAGTGCTCACTCAAACACAAAAAACCCATCTATTCATAGATATTAAAGTTGGTGGCAGTCAAATGATCTCTAAAGCAAATATTCCCTGGCACCTCCTGTATAAAGCAGAATAGTTACTGGTTGAACTATAGTACTTCTTTAAAAGCAGGGGGAAAAAAAAAAAAAAAAAAGTCATGGTTTTGTCTACAGATTTGAATAGATATAGCATCCCTGGGGTGTGCTGTTCCTAAACTTAATCCTGTCCATAACAAAAAAATATGTCATAGTGTGAGATGGTGTTTTGCTGACAAAGCCTTCTGCTAAGACACATGTTTGTCGTGTCACTACCTGCTGTGCCTCTCATGGCATCATGTCTTACATGTCATACACGTTAGAAGAGGTGGAAATTGCCATGAGCTTTGCCTGAGTTACCATTCTTTTCACATGGGAACATGCAGGATCAAGCTCCAAGCCAAGTGCATAAGCTTAACACGGAAACAGCTACCACTCCAGCAGTCAGGATCCTTCCATTTCTTTCTTCAGGAATAACAGGAAAACTATCAGCATGACCAGAATCTAAAACTTTCTTGTCTCTGGAAACATTTTACATTGAAGGTTTTGGCATGAGCCCATTATACACATAAGAAGGGAAACTAATTAAGACTATTTAATATTAACTAAATAAGAAAACATTAGGTAAACCTTATAATCTTTATATAAGAGAGCACAGTCAGATCCCACTTACAACTGTCATGTAAATAAATACAGTCTCATTTTATAAGAAGCATTGAAGAAGTAAGTTAATAAAATGTTATTTGAGAAGAAAGATTATTTCAATAGCTTTACTTTCAGTATTAAAATAATTGGGTGATGGACATTTATTGAAATATTTAATTTACCGTAAGAAACCTTATCTACCATTCTTAATTTGAAGAAATTCACGTTTAAGGAAGCACTTACTATTGACTTGTTGTTATTTATATTGATTTACAGGAAATTTGTGATCTTCATGACCATACATGTTCAATAGCAAAATTACAACCTAAAACTTTACATATAATTGCACCAAATTCACAGTTCATGGAAATGAATCTATTCCGAAAGCATGAAAAAAACTTATAAAATTGAAGTCAGGTAATAAAGCTTCTAAAGGAGACCAAAGTCGATCTTTTAGATTATAGTAATAGACTGAATAACTGAAAGACATCATTGATTAATTTTATTCAGATGTTTCTTCCCTTAACTTCACATATTTATAACAAATATTGATTTAAACTTAACTAAGAAATGTTAAAGCAGAAGAGAGCAATCAACACTTTTCAATCTGGAATCATACTTTATATGGTCTCATTCCATTTTAAGGAGATTTAATGAGAACTCTTCATCATCCACCTAGGGACTGCAGGGTCAGGTATCAGAAACTCCCATCTTGACAATGCTTTAGGTAGTCTTAAGAACGCTCATTAAGGTTTTAAAATCATACCTACTCTCTATTCAGATAGTATGCTATTAACCTACCTAAAGCTTTATTGCAATGTCCTAATCTTGCAAACTGGATATGAAGATGAATTCTGCTAGTATTGTTAGTGTCAGACAGCTTCATACCACAATGTATGGCTGCTCTGCTTTCATCAGCAAGAAAGAAATACCTGCTTCAAAAGTGGCTTGTGCCTTTAACATAACACATTTGTCCTGTAGAAGTGTCCTGTGTTAGTCCTTCACTACTCCACACCAAGAAGAGGCTTACAACTGCTGGCCCATAGTTAAACCCTTAACAAGTCTTCTCTGGATCCAAGCCTTATGTAATATATGATAAAAATGGGCATGAGGCCCCCTCTGAGTTATAGCTCAATCATTTGATATGATTTTTGGTGTTGAAAAGGAGCAGTAAAGCCAATTATAACTTCATTATATACTTATATATTAATATATATCTATAAAATGAGTGGGTAAAAGAGAATCAGGCCTACAGAGTTGAACATGGGATCTATTGACTCAGTAAAAGCACAAACTGAGTTTCCACAACATCATGTAATTCTTCATATTATCTTCACATTGCAAACAAGTTTTATGATCAGAATGTTCCTACAGTTTATTCTTCTTTGCTTTTACCTTTTTTTTTTCAACAAAGTCAAGATGAGGCTTTCCCTAGTGAAGCTCCAGTCTTGCCAGAGGATCAAAGAGAATCACATCAGCTCAAGGAGCACTCAAGAAAGAGTTTATTCTTTCCCCCAAAGCTCTCGTGTAGAGGCTGCTCCACTTTAAGAATGGAGCACTAACTATTCATTAGCATCGTTTCTCCACTGTGAAATAAAACATGGCTGGGGAATGAGCTTAGGGGCTGGATCACTGGTCATTCACACTCCTTAAATGTTAAAATCACCTTCTGGCATAATTTTGGCTAAGCCTATCAGAACTGCCAAAATCTGTTCTTAGACATGACGTGGTGGTTCACACCAGTCAAGGACCATTCATGGCAAGCAGTTTCCATCTGTACTTTTGAGCAGGAAGATTTAGCTGTACGTGTGTGATTGTGCCTATCAACCTTAAGGCCAGTGAACATTTCCTGACCTGTTTTAGATATTAGCATAGGTACTGCCTGTGACCCACCTTGCTCTGCAAGCTAGTCCAAACCAGAAGAGGTCCTTTCTCCTAGCTCTCCCAAGGAATGCAACACCTTGTGTTTCTGTAACTGTGAGGACTATGGTGATCACAAAAGTTTGGGCAAAGCAAGGAAGGGCTGCTATACACACATCCATGCACCTTTTCATCATGTGCTTTTTAAATGCACCTCTGTGTTTCACCTTGTAGATATTTAGAAGTTAAAAGTTTTGTTTGCAATAATCTACCTAAGAAACAAAATAATTCAAATCTTCGTGGAGATGACCGTAAGGGATGAAAACACACAATTCAAACTTCCAACTCTAACATCCTTTTAGCAAAAAAAAAGATGTTGTTTTGGACTTCTACTCTGGCTTTTGCAAACATTTTCTTTGTCAAATGCAAGCTTAAAAAAGCAGGCATTGTACAAATACACAACTTGTGCCATGGTTTTTGCAAAAAAGTGTGTGCAAATGTGGTCACAGGAAAACTTTCAGAAATACAGTAAGAAAAATTCCAGCAATGACTAATAATAATGTATATATAGCCAGGAAAAAAACCAAACAAATGAAAACAAAAAAAAAGACCAGAATATGCAATTCTTCCAGGTTGGATTTGAATCTGGCCATCTAATCAGAAAAGGAACAATGGAGTGGTCATTTCTAGTATTCTTATTCACAGGTAAAGCCCATTCACATCTTCAGAACTTTTTCTATGCCTATGATATTGGGAAAAGTTGTCAAGTCCAAATAAAATATATTGAAGCTGTCTCACAGAACAATTTTACTCCAAATCTTAAAAGTCTTTTATATTTAGCTTTCAATTATCTTTCTTCAAAAATGTTTAATACCATAGAAAGACTACTTAATGCTTGCATGTCTTGTCATATTTTTCATCTAATTATCTTACACAAGGGCTGTCTTGAGATTTTACATTCAATTAAAAAAAATATAGATTGGGTTCCAACTTGTGGTGAAATACTTCCAGCAAACACACACAGTTCAGATTTTAATTCTGATCAGCCTCTAAGTCTCCATAACTGACAGCTGAAGTTAAGCAAAAAAATCTGTTTCCATTTACCAGACTGCATGGAAATGAGACATTGAACTCAACACCTACCCTCACCTATCTGAGCCACTACAGTCCTAGTTATTTTCAACAGTCCTTGGTCTTTCTTATTGTCCAGCTATTATTGATAAAAAAGTCATTTATATACTCCTTTCAAAAGAAGATTTTTTCCTTGTTTTGATGAAAACTTTTTGAACACAAAAATCAATGTGAAATACAAAAGGACTTTGAACAGAGATTTTTCATACAGTGATACTTGACCATTTTTTAACACCTGTGAAATATCTAGGATTAAACACTTCAATGGTCTTTAGCAAAAACATGGAAGACCTTCAAGAAAGCTAACTTGAAATCTCCACAAATATATAAAGTAGAAGACTTTCTTCATATCTCTGTAAAGCAATTCTAGTCCATACTTCGATTTGTAAATAAGCATTTAATTATTAAAAACTGAAGAAGGGATAAAATCTTACAAATATTTCACTTACAGAATTTCTAAATGAATTCTTAAGATATATTGTATAAAGTATGAATATCCAACTGCCCAAATATTTTTAACACAAACAAAAGCCTTTGCTCTTACAAAATCTCCTGTGCAAATTTCCCTCTGGAGTACACATGCCAATTTTATTTTATATTTTTTTTTCAGTTTGGCAAAGGCCAATGCTGCTGTCACTGTGGTTGTTCTGGTCAGCTGTGAATTTTGCCAGGTTAGAGTCATGAATATGCAAAAAAAGTGTGAAATTGGGCCCAACAGGGAATTTAATATGTAAACTCAGCTATTTCCTACGTTTTTAACATTCCCAATAAGACTGAAAGAAAAGAACAAATTCTCAATGCATTTTGAAAGGCAGATGTGATTCACCAGAAGCTCCTTTATAGCATAATAATTTTTGTACTGAGCCTATGACTTCTGGATGACCTAAAGGATTTCTTTTAGAAAAGCAACCAATCTGGACTTCAAAACTCCCAGTTGTTCCAATAGCTAATTAACACTACTACTAAAACAGAAGAAAAGAGGGGACAAAAAAAAAAAAGAAAAAAAAAAAAAAAAAAGAAAAAGAAATTTCTAGCTCTTTGATCTGCTTACACCTTTGACTGTTAAGATAGAAGCCTCTGCAGTGAGAAATCCTCTTCTCTTCTAGAAACCCACAGTCTATGATCACGGCAATTTTTGCCAGCTCCTTTCCTTCAACAAAGTAATTTTGAAATGATAGAAGGCTTGCATGCATTTAAGATGAACTACAACATGGGAGGAAAAAACTGTACCATAAAATTCAATTTTATTACAACAAACTCCATGCTGGAGTCCTCATTCAAGTCCACTAAAGTCAGTAGGAATTGTCTTTGAGGGAAGCCACCAGAATTTGTCGTAGATTATGTTTGATAGCAAAAAAATGAAGGAACAAAAGCAAGCAGGTGGAAAGGAGCCTGGTGATCCATGTATGTAAACTCCCATCATACAGCTCTCAGTATGGTACATGCAGTCCTGGTATGCTGAACTCTTTAAGACATACAAAGGGGAGACAGCAATGTGGAATGCTATTATGGATCATATCAATAATCCCCTTAGTTTGGGACCTGGTATCCAGCAGCAGCCAGAAAGTATTTTAAATGTATTGGAATCTCAGTAATAAATGAAGGAATAAGATGCATACGGAGATGTTTCTGTCTTTCTCTAAAACTGAATGGATATTTATGTCCTGGATTAGCAAGGATTATCCACTCCATAATTGTTATCTGACCTCAGAGATACCTCTATTAGTAAAATAATTAATCATTTTTTTTTTAAATTCTTCAACTTCAGTATCTTATGCCAACAAATTCCACAGAATATAAAAGATATGGGGAAACGCTTTCACTTGCTAGCCTTCTTTATAATTTCCTTCCATTTTATATGTAATAAGAAAAAATAAGGGCAAAAAACTATTTGAAAATACATAATAATTTTTGTTATTCTTCAGCGTTTCTCCTTTTGCCTTTTTTTGAAAACTGCCACTTTTTAAAATATTATTGCTCAGACATCTTACTAATCTCTATTTATTTTTGTAACATTTTCCAGACATTATTATTCCTGATCTTTTTAGAAGATAGAAATAGGGATGGGGAGATCAGTGCTGAGAATGTTGTGCAATATGCACGTTTCTCACCAAATTATATCCTGATAGAGCTGCTATCATCATGAATTTTAAAGTACCCAGCTGCAAGTTAAACACTTCATTATGACTGGACAGGAAGCAGCAGCTATCAGCCTCACAAAAAATTATGTGCAACTGGGTTTTGCAAGATTGATTCTTCCCACGCAATATAACAAGACGTTTGTTGAGTTTGGATGACTCTTTTTTGCTATACATTGTTCCAAACTTGTCAACATGGAATTTCACCTTCATCATGGAAGTTAGCTGATTAAATCTTTCCTTCCTAAATTGTTCTTAGGCATTTCCACTGTGAGCTATTCTAGATCAGGTTATTTCTACAGTATATCTTGCCACCTTTCAGCTTATTAACTATATTTTTATAAGTACTTAATTGCTATAATAAAGACAAAGGTCTTTACAATAAAAGGCTTTCAGACACCTTCTTACTAATAAGCAGAACACCTTATGGCATGAGATATTGGACTAGAGTTTATGAAAATGAACTTTTTTTTTTTTCCACATTCTTTAATGATAAAACACATCTCCGTGTTTCAGATCCTTGAAGATAAAATAGGCTTATTTCTTCCTAGCTTCACAAGGATGTTAGAAAGATAATCTGATCACTATACACAAAATATCTGGATCTAGCAACATAATTGCAACAAAAAAATATAATACCGTGTAGTACATATAGAACCTATATATTTCACTTTTTTAAAATGTTATTTTTATTGTAAATTGTTTATTAAACTATAAAAGAACTTTAGTATCCATCTGCTTAAATTTTGGACTCAAGTGGCAAGACTGGACAATATAATTTTTTTCTAAAGGACCTGCTTGACTCCATGATTTATAATCACCTCTTTACTTCTAAGTTCATTCAGGTTACCTGGCACTAAGGTGGAACTCAGAGACATCAGTATTTTCCTGTGATTTTTGCCCTAAACAGTACACAGAGGAATAATACGGGAATATATGTAAACAGTATATATGGGAAGTTTTCATGAAAAATATTTCTTCCAGTATCTCAGTTCTAGATTTGGACAGACAGACTGGTTTCTAAAAGGGCCTTTTGAGGTGTTCTAAAGCTGCTAATTTGAATCACCTTTAGAAATATCTCATGGTACTACCCACAACTATGGTAAAATAAATATTCCTTTAATTCCCGGCTCCATAATTTGTAGTTAATAATTCTGTCCAACCAAGCATGGGTAGAACAAGAATCAGTGTTTTGTTCTGCATGTATTCACAACTCATGAATGAAATCTTGATTCCAGTGTCTTAGCATTCTGTACCTTATTCATCTTTTCTGACACTAAGCTCTGACAGTATCTAATCTCTGTTACTTTCCACAGATTCATTTTTACAATTCCTTCAACATTCGTTGTGCTAATGATGGATGAAATGAAAGCAAGTAACTTACTTTTAATACACCTCCAGCCTTTCTTACATCACCTCTGTGACTGCAACTGTCTACTCTTTAAAAACTGTGTCTTACAGTTGTTTGGGGTTAATGTTTGTCTTGGTTTTGTGTTTGTTTTGTTTAATTTTATTTTAATTTCTCATAAACAATGGGATGGAAAATAAGTTTTGCACTCACTATATGGATATCTTCTGTATTACTTTCTTTACTGTATCTTGCTTGTCATCTCTGATTCAGTTACAGTAAGTTTAAGATATCTACATGAAAGTCAAAGATACTCTTGTTTCCTGTGTTCACTTTTTTAACTCATTTTAAATTGTTCTTTCTTCTACCATGTTGCAATATTTTAGGTTCTATTCATTATCTGAATATCCTGAAATAAATTATACTGTACTTGTTACTAAATGACCCATGCATACTTACTACCTGAACTAATTTATTAGTGATGTGAGGAAATAAATCAAGTATTTTCCAGTATTTCTTGGTATAGTCTACAAAGATTTTAATTTTTGTACAAAAAAGGAAAAACCCAACCAATCAACCAGCAACAATAGAAAACAAACCAAAACAGTGCAGAGATAGTGTTTCTCTTTTTTTTTTTTTTTTTTTTTTTTTTGTCTTGAAAGGGTTTATCATGATCCTACAGGCTTTACCTACTCTTCACATAAAGTATAAGTTTATATATATGCAGTTGATGACAGAATAGAAAAATTCTTTGGCTGATCACCTTCTATAATATAGACGCACTCTCTGTCAGGAGGATACTTGTTGGGGTAGTTGGGAGAAGTGAAGATACCTCCTTCTGCATATTTTGTCCAGGTTCCACACTGCACTGGCTTCTGTCCTTCTGAAGTAGTTTGCTTTTCTGTGAAATGATCACATTAAACATTTATAATTAGCTCACAAATTATTATGTCCCTATGACACATAGAACTCTCTTACAGAATAAAACAGACCTTTACAGAATAAACAGACTCTTACAGAATAAAACAGAGTCTGTGGCTTTTGAAGCATTTTTTCAAAGCAAAGAAAAGGCTTGGCTGCCTAGGGGAAGACATATTTATATTGCCTTTTAAATAATAACCTTGTAGGACATGCTCAAGAAACGGGAGACAGGAGTTTTCCACTCCTATATCTCAAAAGGTTCAGGCATGTGTGCTATCAGCAAGCTATGTGCTGTAATACGGGGACACAACAGAATCTCAAAAGCAAGGAAAAAACCCATGGGATTACGATACAATATACAAATTGTTTTCATTTCTCAGCAGCCTGATTCTATATTCACTGGACAAAGGTAGGTGTGGGAAATCCTGGATTCTGGTTCATAGATTATTTTTAGCTTGATATTTGCTGTAAAATTAATAACTTTCTTTGAGAACAGGAATCACAGCCCAGAACTTTCCTTCTCATAGGTGAATCATCAGAGAGCAGAGTCTGGCTTCCTTTGTTTGCTTCTTCCTAGACCTGAAACTCTCACGTTCCTTTCTAAGCATTGACAGACAACCTGGAAACAAAAATTTGAGTCTGTGCAGGCTGAATAAGGGGTCACTTCCTGAACATTGTGTTTTAACAACTAGGCTAAAACAGGATGGATTCTTCAGAGGGAAAAATACCTTGGCTGGTATTAAAAGGAAAGCTAATAGGGTCTAGACCTCACACAGGCATCTGAAGAAGACTCTTGTGTTTTGCTCCAGGAGGTGTCTACATCCAAGGACTGTCTCGTCTGACTTAAGCCTCTGATGTGTAGAGCTGAGTTGTTTGAGGCTCCCTCTTAAGATCACTGGAGGAAAATAGGTATCTTCCAAGGATGATTTTAACCACCTGAGATCTGCCGTATGCTCTGTAAGCATTTATATTTCTTCCTGGTCTGCATCCAAACTGAGTACCACACAAATCCTAATTTCCTGAAATTAATTCAGGCCTGCAGAGACTGAGCACTCAGACACTCTGTGCTTAGCAACTCTCCCTGCTTGGCTCTCACCACACTTAGCATCCAGGGCTTTTAAGAGCTTCTTCCCATCCCCACTCTGCTCAAAGGCACCCATAAATACCCAATTTCAGATCTGAATTCAACTTCAACAGACAAAAAGATCTTAAGTGTAAATAGCTCAGTGCCCAAACTGGAGTTCCCAGTTTGGAACTAGATACACTTTGCAGTCTTTAAACAGTCAGGCTAAGTCTTATAGCTAGTCTAGTTAGATCTAGCTGTGGATGAGGTCACTAACTTGTTAAAAAAATACCATTGGGCTTTTGCCTGTGTACAGGCACACTAACGCTCTAAACATATGAACAAAGGAAAGACACTGGAAGTAGGTGAACTAAGAATTTCAAGTTCTAAACTAGCAACTCAAATCCATACTTTGGACTCACAATATATCTAGAAAAAAATGTCTGAAGTTTACATACCTGTTCCTTTTTTGGTTGCCCCAGACAAATGTAGGATGATTAGACTTGCTACAACTGAAAGAGAAATGTGCATTAGATATCACAGTGTGACAGTGCCTGCAATCAAACCAATTGTAAACTTATGTCTTAGAGCAATACAAATTAAATGCAACTACCGTAAAAAAAAAAAAAATAAAAAAAATTCATGTATACTTGTATCTTGAAATTGCACATTTTGTGTAAACAAGGTTCTTTGTGATCTGTCCTTGTACTTATCTTTGTAAATTTATCCAAAGAAAGAGGAGATCTTCTGGGTTTAAAACAAAGTCCCCAGGCATTGATGTTTTGCCCGTATTTTTCTTTATTTTTTGAATATTTGAGAAAAACGTTTTACCATATTTATTTATATAATCGTAGCTTGGGCCAGTAATAGAAAAGTGTCTGCTTTTAACAGGGGGAGACAAAGGCCTGCGAAGTTTCAGTGCCACTGTGCTCATTAATGTCTCTCACTATGGCATAATAAAATTTGAAAATGAGTACTGGGAGTATGAAAGAAGTGAGGGGTTGGGATCTTCACATCCATCAAAGCATTTGCAAATCCCCAGTGAAGTAATTTATTGTGTGTGCTTAACAGTGTCATTAATCTAGTTTGTTTGACTTGTCGAGAGGGTGTTGCTTTGTGCTGCAGTGGATCTGCAGCCCATTTTACAAATAGAAATCTCCTATCTCCAACCATGGTAGGACAGCTATCCTTGGGAACAAATGTGATCTTCCTGAGATGGTCTTCAACCTAGTGATAATTCTGGAGTTTCTGAAAGTTCCTCAATATAACCTTTTATCTAGAAAAGGATAAGAGGTAAAACTTAAGCCAGTCGGACTGCTTTGGAAGATCAAAGGCACTAGCTAGCTACCTGATGAAGAAAACAAGGCTAATGATGCCATTTTCTTGTCACCACCCATATTTTCTTTGGCTGTTGGAGAAAGTGGAGTAGAAAGAGCATAAGGAAACAGATCCATCAGTTCTTCGAGTGCTTGGGGTTTTGACCCCAGCCAGTTTGGCGTTAAGCCCGGACATAGTGCCCGGGCTGCACTGAAGTTACAAGGGAGATGAAGTTGGGTGTTTATTCTCAGTATTTTGGATCGATCAGCTGCCATTTGTATTATTGACTATGATGAGGAATTGATGGACCTGTGTTCTTTAACAAATGTAATTGAATGGCTTACTTTCCCCTTCTTATCCCCAAAAGACAGAAGTTATCATGGACTAGTAACTACCTAAATGATTCTTTGAAAGAGGTTCCTTTCATTGTGTTCAGCTTTTATAGCGCAGATTGTGTGCAGTTTTTACCCCCAAGAAAGACACTCTCCATAGTTCCAGTATTCTGATGGCACTGAGATCTCTGTTTCTATGCCTTTGACCCTTCCTGTGTGACAGAGGCTTTGAGACATGGATGACAGCTACCTTATTAAGCAGGGAAAGGCTGCTGTTCTGGGAAAAGGAAGGCTTGGCAGCATATTCACTGTGTCTTGGTCAGACTCAGCTCCTGCGTCTTTTTGAATCCCTGACCTAACAGAGACGGATGTTGGCAGAGCTGGTAGTTAAGAACTCTTCTGTGTCATAGGCTTTCAGTAAGAACATCACATCTTCTGCTCGGATCTGAATGCTCCCCAATCATTCATGCCTTTGCCCTCCTCAGGGGTGGATTCTGGAAATATTTGCTAGCTGGGACTCTGCCCACCAGCTGTGTCAGAATCTGAAGGCAATGCAGGATGCACCCATTTAAGTAAGTTGCTCATTTACTTTAGCTGTGTTTCATGCAGTGAACAGACATCATCTACGCCTGCAATCCTCACCAGTCACAACCTAATCTCTCCATAGTGTAAGGAGGGTTGATGTTAGTATATGGAGCCAGCTGCCGGCATTCTTTCTGCCCACAAATTTATGGAAGCTAGAACAGGATGCACAACAGCCAAATAAACCCCATGTGAGAAAGATTTCTTCTTGGGCAACAAATAATAATTAATATCTGATTCTTACAGGTTCATTTCAAACACCTTTATCTGTTAGCTTTCCCTTCCTTTTCTAGATGGAAAAATTGGACGTTTAAAGAAGTAAAGACAGTTGGTCCAAGTCACAGACATATTATTTTCAAGATGACAGAGAGAACACAGATCTTTTCAATTCCAGCTGTAGCCACTAGAAAGGGTGCTTCCAAGTCGCAAAGCTATACTATTCCAGAGCAGGGAGCTATACTTACATATCATCATGCCAGAATTGATTATTAATAAGGAGTCAAAATAATCTTGATAATAGAATGTAATAGACAAGAGGAGACTAAGAGACAAAGACCTGGACATATCTGACCTAACATTTGGATGCACAATGTGAAATACATCCCCTGTATTTCAGAAAAGGAGAAAGGCTATTGATTTAGTGGCATTAACACCAGCACCACCAAAAGCTGTATATTGCCAGAAAGTAATTAAAATTATGAGTTTTATGGGAAAAGGTAATACTATTAAAGCAATCAAGGGGGACCATTATATTCTATGACCCCTTGCCTTTTTCTTCTCAAGCCACAGGAAAATAACAGTGCTTCCCACAGAGAGAGGGGGAAAAAGAAAAAAAAGAGACCTCAAAGAGACCAGTCATGCAATCTTCACAAATTGAAAACTGTCGCTTGGGAAGCTTTGGCAGTACAGCAGTAATATTGTGATTATCTAGGTTTGGGAATTATCTTAAAGAAGTTTCCACCAAATTTCTTGTGTTCCCTCTGCCTTCCTCCTCTCCCTTTCCTTCCTAATCACAGGTGTAATTATAATCATGCTTTCTAATGTCACTCTGATTACGTATCGTTGCATCTTTTTGGACGTGTTTTTCCATTACAAGCTGTACATAACGAGATTTATCTCTTGGCCGGGCAGCTTTTTGGAGGCTGTGATTTGGCATAGACATGGCTTAGCCTAGCAAAGAGTTGTTGGACAAGCACTACCTGGCTATAGCGCTGCTGCTTTACAGGTGTGGGCACAGGGAGAGGTGCTGGAAGGAGCAGTGGCCAGTGAAGCCCCTTCAGCAGAGCAGACCCTCTCCAAATCTGAAGGCGGGAGAGAGGGTCCCGTCCGCGCAGCTTGAGGCCTCTGAGGGACTTCGACGAGTAATTGTTACGTTTCTGTCCCTCCCTGCTGCTCCTGGAGGATTTCGCCTACAGGGGCCCTCCCCCGCTCCGCAGCCCGCCGGGCTCCGCGG